AAATTGATCCTGATTACAAATTAATTAATAATCAAAGCCCAGTTCTGTTTCTGGTCCAGAACCGACCCAGACTCCGTTTCTCCTTCAGAGCTGGTCTGTAACATCTCTGACTGAAAAACACCAGAACGTAAACGGTACCGGTCCGGTTCTGTCACAACCCGGTCAGGTCGCTCGGACCTGCTCACCGTGTAGTTCTTGGTGTTGATCTTCACTCCAGCTTTGGCTCCACCGAACGGAACATCTGGAACAGCAGGCGGTTCTGGTTAGGCCCAGTTCAGGTCCGGTCTGTGTGTGTGTGTGTGTGTGGTACCGACCCACGATGGCGCACTTGTAGGTCATCAGGGAGGCGAGAGCCTTGACCTCATCCACAGACACCTCGGTGCTGTACCGGATCCCTGAAACGGAACCAGAACCATCCCTCCTGTGTGACCTTTGACCTGCTGGTTCTGGACTCTGTCCCGGCTGACACAGTTCCTTTAGGCTGAACGGTACCAGCCTACAAGTACTGGTTCTGATTGGTCTGTTTGGGTTTTAATACACAGGACTCAGAACCAGGCCAGACTGGACCGGATCCAGTGGTTCTGCTGGTCCTTACTGTTTTTTTCAGTGTTCATTTATTTTCATTTTGAAAAAATGACCAAATAATTAAACGTGTAACAATAACAATAAACAAAGATCATAATTCTATCCATATTTAAAACAAATCTGAATTTTTCAGGATGAATTTAGCCAGAAGCAGGGATTGTTTATCATCATTATTATTAATATTTATACTTCCTCCTCCTGCAGCAGGTACCAGCTGGACTCTGCTGTGTCTGCTCTACATGCTGACTCGGTCCGGTCCGGTTCGGATCTCACCTCCCTTGCAGGGCGTCCGGTGCTGGCTGTGCTGAGCCCTGTAGCCCTCGATCACCTCCCACTCGCCGCTGTCCCTCCGGATCGGGAAGCAGACGCTCAGAACGTGGTTACACGGCTTGATGATCCGCAGGATACCGCGGACTCTCTTCCGCTTCTGCTCAGGGGTCTCCCGGGTCCTCAGGTCCTCCACCAGCTTGTCCTCCACGATCGCGGCTCCACGGTCGAAGAAGCCCTCCACCATCGTGAAAAAGTTCGGGTCGTCGCCCCGGTCCGCGGCCTGGCTGTAACCGCGGTACCGCAGCAGCGAGGCGGACGCCGGCAGCGCCGAGTCGGCGGCGGAGGCCAGGAGACCGCCCGCTCCCCGGGTCAACAGTTCTCCCAGGTTTCGGTACATTTTGCGGGTGAGCTGGTGGAAGGAGGTCCAGGAAATGGAGCCGCCGAAGCGGAGAGTCTGTCCCGGCAGCGGCGGCTCCTCCTTCCCGCCGCCCCTTCCTGTCAGCAGCCGCCGCGAGCCAAACAAACTGAAGCTGGCACGCGATCATTTAAAGGGCGCGCCGGGCGGGAGCTGCTGCTGTTAGCCGTTAGCTTAGCTCAACACGAACAGTAGAAACACCGAAGAAAACTGATAATTACGGCTTAACCAGTGAGTTAATCACACAGTTGTAGCAGATATCGGTCTGTTATGAAGGTTTCAATCAAGTTTGACTCCGTTAATTAAGTTTTATTAGCAGCGTAAAATAGTTTAATACTAGCAAGCATTTAGACTACACGTACTTCCGGGAAAACTTTCAAAACAAATGTTCATTAAATAATAAATCCCTGTTGCTGTATAAGAGGGGTGTCCAAAGTCGGTCCTGGAGGCCCGGCATCCTGCACGTTTTAGTTCTCTCCCTGGTAGTAACAACCTTTTCAGCTTGTCAATGTTCCTCTTAGGCCATCTAACAGCCATCATTTGATCCAGGTGCATTAAACCAGGGAGAGAACTAAAATATGCAGGATGCCGGAACTCCAGGACCCACTTTGGACACCCCTGCTGTATAATATTTCAGACTATGGTTAATTTCAACATTTAGTCTTTAAATTATGTTGTTTACAGTCTTTTCAGCTTTGGGGCGTTTCGACAGGTATATGGCTTATTGCCCAGGGCGGCACTCCCTTCAGGATCAACCCACTTAATAAAAACAACACATTGCGCTGAAGACAGATTCTCCATGAATATTTCCCTGCAGCACATTCCTCCAGGTAGGCTCTGGAGAAGCCTTCAGGTAAAGACAAGGCTGTTAAAACCTTTACCTGTGTGCCCAATATGTCATCTGATCAGGGCTTTAACAGGTCAGTTAACCTGTAAAGTATCAACAACCCAGCCAGCATGCCTAGGTGGGACCCATGTGGGGACAAGGAGGGCAGACTATATGGGTCCCATATGGGTTTGTCCGCGGGTTCCACGATGGCCCCACATGGGTTTGCCCATGTAGGGCCACCGCCCAAATGGGTGCTACATGGGCCCTAATTGGACAAAACCCATGTGGGCCACCACCATATAGGGCCCATGCAGGGCCCATGTGGGCTCTGGCCCTACATGGGCAAACCCATGTGGGGCCATCGTGGAACCCGCGGACAAACCCATATGGGACCCATATAGTCTGCCCTCCTTGTCCCCACATGGGGCCCACCTAGGCATGCTGGCTGGGAAGCAGCAACCATAAAGTTGTATTTACGTTTAAGGAAATGACAAACATTAAAACTATTAGCTTAACTTTATTAATCTGCAATGTAACTGATTAGAGAACACAGAAAGAAAAAAACAGATTTTTTCCAGCTCAAACTATGAGACAGGCTGATTCAACCCTTTATCTGCTGTAAAAATACAGCAGATTCTTCTTCTTCGCCTCCTTTGGCTGTTTTTAGGAACCAGAACAAATGATTGGTCCAGTAACAGTTAGAGTGACAAATTTACCCAGTTTGGTCTCCTTCACTAAATTTACAGCGGATGGATCTTCCACATTAACTGAATGCTCTAGGCTGGTTCTGGTTCCGGTCGGTTCTGATTCTAGAAGCTGACCCAGAGTTCTCTCCATTAGACCAGTAAAATCTGACTGTTTATTATAATTCAGATCAAACTGTATATTACTTATAATATTCCCTGAATGCGATTGGATTGATTTGTTATTTTCTGTATATCTGAGTATGAACTGGACCTTTATGCCCCTTTTCCACCGGCCCGGCCCGGTTTTCTTACCACTGTCCCTTCATAATAAAACCATGCAGCCCAACATATTTGCCCTTATGACCCCAAAAGTTCTGGTCTAACTGGTTCTGGTTCTGGTTGTCTCCTCAGTGGACACAATGCATCAGCGGCCAAAGATCCACATCTTCCTCGGCGCTCCTCCTCCTCTTCCTCCTTCACCTAAGATGGAGAAAGAGGAGGAGGAGGAAGAGCGTCCTGCAGGATGGAGACACCTGGAGCTCACCTGGAGGGCGGGCCGTCTCCGACCCACTGCAGGTGAGGCGGGTTTAATCCCGCTTAGGGATTCAGGAGTTCTTCCTGTGTTCTGTCTGTGGGACCCGACCCGCTGGTTGCTGCTGGTTCTTGGGGTCGAACCCAAATGGATCCTGAATGATGATCCTGTCCTTTCAGATGTTCTTGGGAATGAGGATCAGAGTAAGGAGAATGCAACAGAACCGGAACTGGGTTGGGCCACAGGGTCCGCTAGAGGACGATCCGATGGAGATGGAGGACTGGCGTCTGAAGCTGGAGCTCTGAGGACAGAGGGAGACTCGGATGGTTCTGGGGAGGATCTGTGTTCTGCTTCAATCCAGGAGTACCTGGACCGCTGTTTCCCTCTAGCTCAACAAGAACCAGAACCAAAGCAGCAGCCTCCGTCCACCAGAACCCAGTTCCTCAGCACCTGGACTCTCAGCCAGGCCCTGATCCTGAGAAGAAGACATGCCGTCCAATCAGCACTCAGCCCAGACAAAGCCCCGCCCATCCCAGACAAAGCCCCACCCATCCCAGACAAACCCCCGCCCATCACAGACAAAGCCCCGCCCATCACAGACAAAGCTCTGCCCATTCCCCCTGTCAGCCCCCTGTCCGGCTCCTCCAGCACCCCGGAGCTGTTCAGCCTGGCTGCCTCGTCTCTTGGAGACTCCATGGAGCTGTTCAGCCACACCTGTCCGGCCTCCAGGGCGGAGCAAGGTGGGGTCATCATGGAGGTCACTGCAGACGGCGTCCTCTGCTCTCAGGAGTCTGATCCCCAGATGTCCCCCACATCGCCGCCTTGCAGCAAGAAACCACGACCCTCAGAGGAGTCGACGTCTGCAGCACCAGAGAGCTCCACGTCCATCACCCGTCTGAACAGGTGCGACCAGGTGGGACGCAGGTACTCTGTCCTGGTGGTGGTGGTCCACCCATGCCATCTGAAGGAGGTCCAGGTGAGTCCAGGTGTCCAACAGGAATGAAAACATGAAAAGTTCCTCCTCTGAGTTAGGAACATTTTCACCGTTTTGGTGAAAAATTAATAGCTGTGGTTAGCTCTGCAAACTAAAAAGCTTTCTAATCGTGTTCTGTTCGTGTTCTGATCCGTGTCTGGCCGAAGGTGCGGTCGGGTCCGTCAGCAGGAAGCCGCGTTCCTCTGGCCTCCATGGTGGTGACGGACCAATCAGGAGCAGAGATGAAGGTGGTGCTGTGGAGGAGAGCGGCCTTCTGGGTTCTGACCGTGAGTCCTGGAGAGGTTCTGCTCATCACAGGTATACACACACACACACTGGTACTGGACCCAAAAAGCCGGTTCTGGTGTCTGTTTGATCTCAGGTGTGTGTTTGTGCTGCAGGGCTGCAGGTGAGGGAGGACAGGTGGAGAGCAGAGACTGTCCTCCAGTCCACCTTCTCCAGCAAACTGCTGAACCTGGGACACGCCTCCACCTCACCGCCAGGTACGGCAGCAGCCAATCAGCAGCCTCCTTTGCCCAGATGTGTCTACCTCTCTCTCTCTCTCTCTAGTTAGCCAGCAGGTTAGCGCCTGTGCTCTGCGTTCTCTGTGTGGTTTCGTCAGAGAGCGGCGCCCCCTGCTGTTGTCCCTCCCCAGCCGGCCCCAGCAGGATCTGAACCGGCTCCCTTACGCCACCCTGAGGTCGCTGCGGGTCAACACGCTGGTTCACGCTCTGCTGCGAGTCACGCACTCTCACATCAGCTCAGGTGAGCCTGTTGCTGGCAGGGGGTGGGGCCAGCGGGCTGCATGTTAGCTAAAGTACCTGACACAGGTGAGGCTCACAGGTGAAACCTATTAGTGAGACTTCCTGACTCCTAGTAGGGTGCTGCCAGATGAACAAACATCAACATCATGAAGCAACATGGCCGCCAACTTCATCTCAGGAACTTTGTCCAAATAACAGGAAACTTAAATAATGTGTTCTGTTGGAGCTCTTCAGTTATTTTCAGTATTTTATGTTAAGTTTGTTAAATCTTGTATTTTTGACCCGACTTCTTGGTGGCAGATCATCATAGCAGAAATTTAAAGAAGCATTAATATTATGACTGGGCAGTTATCACGTTATTGCTGTGTTATTATAGTGTTATTACATTACCATGTAGTTACCATCCTCGTCTTATTGTGTTATCAGGTTATTATGTTATCGTGTTATTATCATGTTATGTCCATTCGTGGCGGCTGCTTGTGTTTCTGTCAGAGTGGAGAGACGAGGCCGAGTCTTGGAACCGCTCGGCGGTCCAGATGAAGGCGGTTCTGGCGGTGCAGCAGCCGGGCGGCCAGCAGGGGGCGCTGCTACTGTGGGGGACAGCCATGGACTGGCTGCCCCGCTTCAGCAAACACAAAGGTACGAGGGGTCAAAGGTCACAGACTGACTTAAAGCCCAGCTTTATGTAGAACCAGGTGAGCTGGGAGCACTGGGCTGATCCAGGCTGGGTCAGAACCCTGGACCGGATTAGGAGGTTCTGTTCATTTTTCTGCCCTCAGATGCTGTGTGGGACTTCAGAGTTCTCCTGGTAAGGGAGGGTTTGACCTCCGACCTCACAGAGCTGCACTCCACCCCCTGGAGCTCGGTCCGGGCTCTGGACCCGACAGACCGCCGGGCGCTGGACTTCCTGCGGGCGTGGCGCCGTCCAGGGCCGAGCGGCACGGCTCTGGAGCTGGACGTGGACACGCTGTTGTCCCAGAAGTACAGCGGTGAGTCGGGCCCGGCTCACCGCTGGAACCGGAACCATGCCAGAACTGGGTCAGAACCCTGAGCTGACTGAATACGAAGCCTCTCCGTTCTGCTGCAGGTGAGGTGGAGCTCAGAGTCCAGGTGCTCAGCTTCCAGTTCCAGGAAGCTCCGCCCTCCCAGAACCCAGCACAGCCGGTTCTGGACGGCTCCACGCCGCGGGCCGGCCTCCTGGCGGCACTGAGCGGTGACATCACCTACACCGGCTGTGGCCGCTGCGCCGCCGAGCTGGACACGGACCGCAACGGGATCTACACGCCGTGCTACGCCTGCCTGCCGCTCACCGCCCTGCGCCGCTTCTACAGGTACCGCCGACATCACTGCTGATGTCACCGCTGACATCACCACCCACAAATAATGTTTTAGGATTAGCATTAGCATCCGCTAATTATTATGCGTTAGCTTTAGTATTAGCTTCTGCTAACCACCATGCTCAGGAATGTCGGCGCTGAGAAACATGGCCGACCTGATGACATCATCTCTGTGTTTCAGGCCAGGTGTGCTGACGGTGAGTGGGCGGGGCTCCCCCCACCTGACGGTCCGGGTTCCTCCGGTTCCTCTGCAGAAAATCCTCCAAGCTCCTCCGGACCGACTACAGCGCAGCGCAGGTGAGACGCTCAGGTCTCAGGTAAGGTTCTGGCCCGGTTCTGACCCGGCACTTTCCCCTCCTCCAGCTCCAGGTTCTCAGGTGAGACACGTCCAGGTGGCGGCGGAGAAGCTGCAGGCGCTGCTGGCTCTTCCCAGGAAGTGGGTGGTCATCACGGTGCGGAGCCACTTCCTGTGCGACCAGAACAGCGTCCCCCTCAGTCAGGACTTCACTCTGCTGGACCTTCAGGTTCCGACCCAGTGAAGAACCCACCTGGTGGGCGGAGCTTACAGGCTCCTCCAGGTGTGTGGACTGGACCTGCTGCTGGCAGGTCACATGACCCATCAGTTTATTATTGTTACTATGTCTGTATTAAATTATTTTAACTGACCTGAGTTCAGATCTTCTTTAATATTTGAGTTAAAGAAGCTCAAATGAAATAAAGATCAGGATAAAATTCATTAAAACATTTTTATTCCTTTAATACATTTCCATTTTTGGAAGAGATTCAGGAAGAGAAAAAACAGCAGGAGGAGAAAACCATTAAGACGGTGGTGATGATGATGATGGTTTCATCGGGATGAAGGTTCAGTTCTTAGACGTTTCTTCTGCCACCTCCACCAGATCATCAAACAGGTCTGAAAAATAAA